CAAAATAATTTTGTCTATGTACGACTTCTATGGTTATAACTATTGATTCAAGTTTTCCTAAATAAATTTGTATAATTTCAATAAAAGATTCATTAGTTCATAATATTAATCAATGCCCTAACAATGAGAATTTTAAGTTTTTAAAAGATCTTTTGAATTTTAAAGATCATTTATATATTCCAGAAGAATCAATACAACTATGTATTCAATCTTGTCATGATATTTCAGCTGCAGGATATTTTGGATTTAACAAAACATTGGAGCTTATCTCTCAAGATTTTTAGTAGTCTCAAATGTGGAAAATCGTGAAGGAATTTATTCTCTAATATGATATTTGTTCAATATCGAAGAATTTCCAACATCATCTTTACTGACTTCTACAACCATTAATTACATAATATCCATGACTTGATTTTTAAGAATACACTTAGAAATTCAATTAAAAAGGAATAGTTTAAAGTACTAAAGACTAACTAATTTAATTTTTTAAAATAATTATTATTTTGGAATGATCACTTTGACTTTTATTTTTTAATTATTATAAATAAAATTAATAAAGTTATATTTGATCTAATAATATTTACATAATTTTCACATAAAAGCTTTATTAAATATTTAATTATCAAAATTTATTACTTAATATAGAATAAATCAATTTAAAAAAATATGTTTAGAAATTTAATCAAAAAAGAATATTTTAAAGCATTAAAGACTAAGGTGTATATAGAAAAAGAAAAAAAATAGCTAAAAAGACAACAACCAATATTTAATGTTAAGAATAAGAATGCCTAAAGATCACAAGAAGAACTAATTCATAAGATGAATTGACAAGTCTAAAGAGGATCTCAATCTTTTTTTTATTTTTGTATAAATTTAAATTTTTATATAAAAGAAATTAAATGCTAGAAATAATTATTAAATATAGAATAAAATACTAAATAAGTCAAGACTTGACTTGACAAAAATGTCAAGTTAAAAGAAATTTTGCACTTAGTTCTCTCAAATTCTAGTTTTCACTAATAAAACCAACTAAAATAAAATACTAAATGAATAAATTTTTTAAAACTAAACTAAATTATATAAAATAATATAGTCTATTAATTACATATATTTGATATGCTTTGGTACTCAATGCCACATCACATGACACTACTTATATTACTTGCAAGACCTAAGACTTAGAGTCTAAGTCTTTCATGTCTTACTATGCAAGTTAATAGATGGCTTATTGGCCAAGTCTTAAGAAGTCCTTGAAGAAGCTGCTTAAAAAGACTTGGATTCAAATTAAACCACGTGGTTTGATTTCTAAGCTATTCTTAAAGTTTCATAAAATGCCACCTAATATAACTTAGTTTCTAAATTATCAACCACATATATCTATCAAGATTTTAATATATTCTAGAAAGATCTATTATAATATAGAATATTTTTAGAAGGTTATAAAATCTTCTTTGTGTGTTTATGACATTATTTTTCTCCTTAACAACAATCCAAGTTCTAAGAATTATATTAAAAAAAAAATAACATCAATCCAAGTTCTAAGAATATTCTAAACTATGATAGATCTATGCTATTTTTTTTTTATATTTATAAAAACTATATCATTTGTTGAGCAACTCTTATTATAAATTTTGATCTTTAATCTCTACTAAATAGATGAATAGATCCTTCTATTCAATTGCCAATACTTTTTAAAGTCAAAGAATATAACTAGATGACTTGATTTAAATTAAGACTTTTAAAAATTCCTTAATAAAAAAATACCTTCACCTCTTTCTTCAACACTTCTAACTTGCAACACCACAACTAATATTCAAGTGTCTTTTTGAAGGTTTTCATGCCACATTTAATTGTAGCAAAGATGTACTCAACATTTAGATGGTCCAGCTTTATATCAAAAATACATATAGGATGATGATTGCTATGATAGTTGATATAATTGATCTCTTGATAAAAGCTCAAGATCAAGATCTTTTGGCTCTAATGGCTAAAAGAAATTTGACAAAAAATTCACATGTTTATATTTTAATACAAATAAAAAATGAAAAATAAGATATATAATATTGTGATATCATAAAATGCATATTTGGTGGCTAAAATATAGAATTGTCTAGTTATAAGGTTTCTACTACTAATTAATATCTTTATATTTCAACTTTTATATCTCTCAATTTGTTCTTCAAATTCTAAATTCATTTATTTTTACTCAAAAATCTTGCACCTTATGTCTTGATTTTCTATAATACAAGCATAGATTTTTACATCAATATCTATCTTTTCTTCTAGGATTAATTGCTTAAATTGAATGGTATTAATTTACATAGGTTAAGGTCTTGAAGAATAATTTTTCATACACCTAGAAGTAGATGCAATAGTTTGATTTTCTCCTATTCAACCAAGTCTTCATTTTTGACGTCTTACAAATAGCCAATTATCACATGTTATTGCTTAAATAATAAATTGCTCCTAAGATTCACCTTCTGGCATTGCTAATAACAATTCCTTCATGTTATACTTTAATCCATATTAAAATTGGTAAATAAAGACTCTATCATTTCAATCCATATCCCATATGAATTAATAAAATTTAGCAACATATATGGTAATAGAATGTAATCTATGTCACAAAAAATTAAAGTATGGTTTCAACTACTTCTTTCTAATTGCTATCTCTAATATAGCATTAAACGACTTCAAATATAAATTAAGATCATATAATAGTCTTAAATCTTTTTTCATTAATGGTACAAATTAAAAGAAGATACTTTTAGTTTTATCTATAAAATCCACTTGAATATTACCATCATGATATCAAGATGGATGTAGCCTAAAGAAAGGATTAATTTGTAAAAATCTTCAAAATCTTAATTTAGTGCCATCAAATTTCTTTGGCATGTTAATCTTTGGTTCTTTAAAACTTGTAGAAACAATTCTAAAATCTAATTGTGATGTCTATTTACATATAATTGCTTCATATAATTGCAAAACTTCTTGGCATAAACGTTGAACTTTATTATTAACTTCTTTCATAGGCATTGAAACATAGCTTTTATAATTATAGTTGCTGATATGTGACATTTCAGCTCAAAGACTTATAAAAAGATCATGAAGATCTATAATTGTGGCAAATTTATTGTGACTTTTTTTTATGTGTATTTTATTTTCTTTCCATCTTTAATAATATTTTTAATAAAAAAAACACTCGAGGAGTAGGATAACTTGCTTACATTTCAATATAAAACAACAACAAAGAAGTGAAGTAGTTCACTTGCTTTTAACACAAAATAGCATTTAAGAAGTAGACTGATATATTCACTTCTGAATACAAAATAACACTAAAAACAAATAAAACCATAATCTTATCAAACTATCAAGGAATATCAAGATGGATGTAGGCTTAAGAAATAAGTTCTAAGATACATTTAGAACTTCAAAGAAGAAGAAATAATTTAAAGTACTAAAGATTAAGATATGAATAAAATAGAAGGAATAACTAAGGAGATAATAACCAATCATTAATGTCAAGAACATACTTCTATCAAGTTGTTAGAATATTTTAGAAAGATCTATTGTAATGTAGAAGATTCTTTTAAGGTTTTAGAATCTTCTTTGTATGTCCATGACTTAAATTGATAGAGATTTATGTGATCAACACAAATTTTTAACAAATTCAAGTTTTGCTACAATTTCAATCCAACAATTTAAGCATTTTCAAATGGCTTTATAACTTCACCTCTTAATTTAATAACTATAATAGTAATAATGTTTTATGAAATATATGTATGAGTTTAATTTTAAACAATGGTTGTACAAGCAACAAAAATGCATGCTCTATGAAGATGTCCAAGGATTGCTCAAGTTCATAGATTGAATAAATTATTGAAATCAATTTTTTTTTAATTTCTAATTTATTAAACAAGTAAGTTATATAAGATTTTATTTATATGATTGTATTATTTTTATTGTATTGATTGAGAAATAAAAAGATTAGAGCTATAGATCTATAAATTCTTTGATAGAAAAAATTCTAAAATAGTACTAGTCAATAAATATTATCTTATGGATGATCATCTATATGGTAATATTAAATTATAAGAAGTTGCCCTAGTCCACAACCCTCTAATCTTAAAGAATAGCAAGCAAGGGCAAAACCTTCTTATGTTTGCTTGTATGAAATATATAAAAAAAATTAAAAATTAAAAATTAAAGAAGAAACAACTACAGGTTATGTCATTACACCATAACCTCTAAAAAAAAATTTACACTAAGAAAATTCCAAGATTTAGGGCCTACTTTTTGTAGACATTGTTACAAAAAAACATTTTGTTATTTGCTATATTTGCTAATATTTACTAATCATGAATACCTCCACTTGAAATATGATTGATAGGATACCAAGATAAATAGAGATTCCAAATTACACTTACGAAAATTCTTTAATTGGATGAATATGTACAATAGACATTAATTGTGTTTGGGAGTTGTTTCTCCCTGGCCACCCCTAACAAACATCTCCATGTCAAGTGCAAGCCTATTTTAGCCTTTCGCATTCAGCCATCATATTTCAGAAATGAATGATAAATTGAGTCCAATCAATACTGACACAATCCTCATTCAACTTTCTCATCTATGGCATTCATCGTGGTCATCTCAGTCATCTTGCCTGTCTCCGCAAGAAGGGAATTCAAATTTTGATGCAAATTGGGGGAACAAGCACGTGGAAGTACTACGGAATATGCATGTGATGTATTTCTCGCAACAGGATGCAGTGTAGCTGATGGCTGCATCCAGACTCCTTCAAATTCACAAGAAGCACAGCGAAAATGATATGAAACTGTGTTGTTACAGTTGCCTGCACTGGAACTGAAAAAACTCCCACTCCTAACCACTCACAAACACTCAACCACTTCCCAGAATCTAGAAACTTACCTCACGTATCATAAATCTATACAATTCATGCATCAGTACATCGAAATAGAACACGAGCTGTAGCAGGGGCATACAGAAACTTTTAGCCTGTTTATTCTTTGAAAGTTATGACAAGGCCAAATGTATCACAATCCAGTGTGAACGTCATCCCTCCTCTTCATAAATGAAATGCAAAATGCTCTACCTCGTTCGAAGAGACAAATGAAAAGCTCATTACCAACCTACACGTGTAAAACATGCAGTGCAATAGTCGACTTCCACCCAAACCTCTTTGCACCTTGGAAGGAAACCTCAAAGCGACCCAGCAATAGACAATCCTGAAAATCAATTTTTTCCCAAGCGAAATCCTCTTGGACAGAGTGGGGCAAACCCTGTTAATTAGCTGCGGTAAGATCGTTGGCTTTTCCTTTTAGTGTGATAAGAATGGCTGTTGTGACCCTCATCTATTTCTCCAGCTGAGTCAACCAGCTGCCAGCGGGTTCCCTCAATGCTGTTACTTGATGGATTGGAGCCGCCCTTAGACTTGAGCTTGCGGGAGGCGACAGGCTCGTCCACGTCTTTTTCTCGAATGTCTCTAGGTCTGTCCTCGATACTATCATCATAATGTTTTCTGTGCTTCCTTTTCTGTTTCCTTCTAGAATCCTCAGAATCATATTCTACAGGCTCCTCACCTTTGGACTTGGAGCGACTATGGTGTCGTTTAAGTCTGGGTTTTTCTAAAGCTTCTCCCTTAATAATCTCCTCGGTTTCAGCGTCATCATACACATGATGACGTCTCTCTTGACGTTCCTTTTCACGTTTGCGACCGAGCTTCAATCGCAGGTCCTGGGGCTCTGGAGGAAGATCAGAGTGGCCTGAGTCTTCAGGCATCTCCCTCTTGCTACTTCTGTAGCGACTTTCGCCACTGACATTAATGCGCTTACTGCTGGACTCCATCCTACGACTTTTTAGTGAACGCGAACCTTCCCTGTCATGCCTTTCAGGTACAACTGGACCATCATGCTCAGAACTGTAGTCCACAAACTCTCTGTGCTGCCTACTGCTTTCTCTCTCGCGTCTCATGTCCCTCTCAGGCAATTTTTCATCACGATCACCACGCCGTACAGGCCGTCGGGTTTTAAGTTCATCAAGAGAAGTAACATCATCATCATTAGAAAGGTGAGATTTACGAGAATGGCGATTTTCAACCACTACCCTATCAGGAGCTTTTCTACGCTCAATCCTGCCACTTTTAGTTTTACGATACTCAGTGTCATCTGAAAACTCATCCCCAGATTCCCGTTCAACGTCATGCTTCCTCACATGATCATAGTGATCTGGACGCCTCTCCCTCGTTTCCTTCAACCTCCGACTCTCCAGCTCTGGAGACTGATGTCGAACATTTCCATCCCTCTCCCGCTCCCTATCCCTTGGAAATAGAGCCTCTGGAGACCATTCTCTGCAACATAAAAGACACAGATGAACACTATTAAAACGATCGTCATTACACAAAACAATTAAAGAGGATGCCTGCAACATTAGATATGGAGTACGTTACAAACTTCTTTACTTCACTACAGATAAATCTACACGCACACTACGAAGGAATCCCACAACAGAATAAACAAACAGTGCAGCTAATTGTAAGCCAAGCAAAAAAGACCACAAGATGCAACTCAAGTTGAAAATAATAGTAACAATAATAAAACTTCTAATATACATTGGTAGAAGTACTCCACAACAGACAACAGACAACAGACAACATAGTAACTATGAATGCCAACTTTAAACAGAATTTCCGTACACACAGATTAGAAGAATCAAAAAAATAAATCACAAATAAGTAAATCAGATCTGTCAAGTGATGCTCATGCTTACGAACCTCTCGGAATGTTCCATCATTCGATGCTGACGGTGTCTCTCTTGACGTTGTCTTTCCTGAACTTCCAAAAACTCCTCTCGAGATAAAGGAGGTCTGTCCATCATGCCCATCATACCTGGTCCCCTCATGTAACTGTACATCCCAGCCATAATCAGGTCGCCAATGTTAAAGAATGGAAGAAGATCGAGAAAAATTTGAGACCCACAATCCAGACACCCTGAATAGAGCTTCTTCACATGTGGCAAACAATATTAAACAGATTAGGATTATCATAAATTTAGTAAAGAGACGAAATACATACCCGTGATGAGGGATTCCAGGATACATAGGAGGCATTCCAAACGGAGGTGCACCATATCCAGGACCGGGCATCATTGGTCTATCAAATGGCATCATTCCAGGACCAGGTCCATGCATGCCTTCACCATACCCAAATGGACCACCATGCGGGGGCATTGGAGGACCATGCCATTCCATATTGTATGCCCCACCATAAGGAGGTACACCCATAGGAGGCATTCCTCCTGTACCAAAAATCCGTCATGTTAGCGTAATGAACTAACATTCCAAAGTCGATGGGACAACAAAGGACTATACAATGTCCAAAACAACCCGAATGTGAATGAAAGATCTGAAAGTTTAAGGCTGCAGATCTGCTTAACAGTTGACTAGAAAAAAAGACTTAAAAAAAAAAAAAAAAAAAAAAAAAAAAAAAAAAAAAAAAACTCAAAGCAAAAAAAAACTCAAAGCAAAAAATGGTCCCTCACATGGAGGTAAAAAAACTCGATCACTTAAAGAAACATTAATTCCATGACGCAACCCTTGCTGTGAGAGAGGTTACAAGAATGGTCAAGATACTTACCGGGACCAAACATGGCAGGATGAGGACCACCATAAGGACCAGGGCCTGGGCCTCCATGGTCGATGCAATCCCTTGCAAAATGATCAGGAGAGCCACATAAATAGCAAACGCGCTCCCCCTGCGTGCCCTAAATATCCATCCGCATTATCAGTATGCGAAGCAACAAATGTTTAATACTACCAAAAACATAGGAACTATCGATTTCAGGGATCCTTGATTGAAAACAATACCCATACCTAAGGTAATTTTCCACATGTACACATGCGTTTTTTCCGAGGTATACCTAGGAGGGCAATAGAGAAGAAAGGTAAAATAAAATACAACTAAGTCCCAAAAACTCCCAAACAATCTGCGAAGTAAACATCTTGGGACATGACAACATAATTATGAAAACCATGACCTACATAACGTTGTGAGCAGTGATGAATACTAAAGGTAGAGTATATTTAACAGATAAAATTGACATAAGCAAAGTTTTAAAGCAACTCCTTAACTTATCCACCAGAATTCACGTGACCAGCATTCTGTGATTACTCATGCCATACACTCTATATTAAAAAATAATGTATCTGTTAGCCTTGACGTGAAGAACAGATTAAATTCATGAAAACCAGTTCAGCGTTGCGTTTGGGCGATCTAAAATCTGAGTAATACCTTTCTGACCTTGCCTCCGCCAATATTATCTGCGGCTCCATCTGCTTCAGTGCACTAGCTCGTCAGCATTGATAACGAAAGAAAGAAATTCGATCATGGAACCCCAATGGTCTCGTTTATGATAATCGTCATAGATCACAAATGCGAGCTCAAGAAACACCATAGACATGAAAATCCAACAAGGACTTGGACAAGAGCCAATTATAAGGAATTACGACCTAAGCTCTGAGAGCGACTGCCGTTTCCCACAGAAAACATAGCAAGTAACCTTTAAATCCTAGTTGTAGGTCACCCAATTAAGGAAGGAAGTACCTCTAAGGAGCGTTGAAAACTTACGAAAAGAAAATGATTACACAATGAAATCCCAAGGAAATACAAAGTACAGCCATAATTTTGGTATACTACAGAATGACAATGCTCATAAACGACCTCTAAAATAATTTACACCATTTCATAAGCTCATATTACTGACCGGTTCTAGAGTGATCAACAAAATAGTCAGAAGTAACAAACAAAACATCCGTAGAAATGTAGAGAACAACCTCCACTGTCGTTCCTCTTCAAACAGCCAATATGTGCTAACTATATGGGTGTTTCAAATAAAACTTTCTTCAGAGAAGCAACAAATTCACAGCAAGTAACAATATTAATCAAACCTACCTGCTTGGACAGGACGAGAACGTTTCTTCTTCTTTTTCCCTGAGATAGATCAGCCAAAGCACAGTCAGGGTGTACCAAAATGCTCACAAAAGAAATACGAAACCTGAAGCTTTCGGTTCACCTGGTTGAACTCGTATAGAATGCCGAATGATGCGTCCACTAGTATGGTATGATATTTATATACCAGTTGCAAAGACAAAGTGCACGGTGGGGAACACATGACCTTAGCATGCTTAATCCAAATGCAGCGATGTGATGCTATGTGAAGAGGGTAGTATGTCGCGTACGAGCAGAGTTTGGAACATGCCTACTTCCACAAGAAATGAAGGCTAAATAGACGTCGCATAACAGAAACAAATCCTAAAAGGGGACCCAAGGGAAGCGGAAAACGAGAAAAAAAAAAGAGGGAGGGGGGGAGGGGGGAGAAGAGGAAAGAGAAAGAAAGAGGATAGAGCAGAGAGAGCCTTCTTTCGGCACCACTTTGTCCAATATGGGCAAAATAAATGTCTCAAACTGAATACGACCCAGCAAATCCAACTTGTGGGGAAAACTCCAACATCTAACTTCCAAACTTTGGGAAAAACTTATGTTATTCCTCAGTGAAAACACACCTTTGCTAACCTCAGACTCCACTGCTACCCCATCCGTCTCCTTAACAAAGAGAGGCTCGATATTCTTAGATATCATGCCTGCTTCTCCCTCGTCATTTACAAAACCCTGCCTTTCCTCTTCTTTAAGAGAAACCCCAGCTTCCTCTTTTCCCGAAGTTTCTGCTGCATATTCCTTAGATGGGGGGCCTTCAATGGCACCTCCACTGTCTTCATCTCCAAGAGTCAAAACAGCGGAGCCTTCAACTTGTTCAGTTTTTTCTTTTTTGTCCTTTGACGACTCTACTGCATCCTCCACAACGACTTCCTTTGAAGGAGGTGCTTGAACAGGTGCACCCGTGGAGATCACAGGCTTTCGTAGCTCAATTTGTAGGCGTGAACCAGCAGGTGCGGCAACCTTCCGAGGACCAGAATCCACATCTAAACATAGCCCGTCACCAAATGTCAGGCATCCAATACATACAGCAAGAACAAAAAGCATTCATCACCGAAAGAAATTAATGGATACAGTGAAAATAGGATCCTGCTTACAGACAGCACAGAAAGTATCAAACTTGTCACTACCAGGCAACAAGAACAATCTATGCATGCTACGGTGTGTAAACCAACTTCTTAAATATGAAATAGAAAATTGACTGTAGAAAAAAGGCTCCGGGAATAAAACGGAAAACAAATTTAAGAGTAGTCTTAAACATACCAGGCAACTGATGCTGTTTGTAAAAACTGTCGGACGCTCCACTAGTTGTCATTTGTGCCTCCAGAAAACGATCAATTGCCTGCCTGAGGTTGATGTTTGGCAGCAGATCATCATTCTTGAATTTGGTAGATTCACATTGAGGGCACTTTCCCTTGGCTATCAGCTCGTCTCTAATACCTGCGGTCATCATGAAATTTACACTCAGAACCTGATGTATGTCACCCCCTATAATCCTCCGATAACGGATAAATAAAGGAATGTTTCTTTCAAAGGTGTTTTGAAGGTTTCAAAAGTATAGCATAGAGATCTTACATTTATCACAGAAACTATACTGACAGCAAGGTATCATGACTGCGTCCTTAAAAATGGTGCCACATAAAGGACACTTCAACTCTGGAGGTGGCTCCGAATAAATTGGTCTGATGGCCAACAACGCGTCTGCTTCTTTGGCGAAAACCGATCTGGGAAATGTGCACAACCATAGAAGGTTAGAGATCGAACTATACATGAACACATTACTGTTTGGCACAAGCATAGAGTAAAATGCTGAGCATTAGACAACACATTGTTTAAGGGCAGTGTACAGAGAAGAAACTTACTCGTCAGGTTGCATAACAGCAACTGATCCATCTGGTAGTATGTACGAGCCCTCCTGGTCAGCTTTTAATCGGGTTTTAGGAATGCCCACAGGTGGTTTCATTTTCCTCATGTCATATGTAGGATCTCCGTTGGTTGGACAATGCTGGATAAAATGACCTATATAGGAAAGAAAACATCGAGTATGATCAGTAGAACGAACCTCGAAGTCCTAGATAATAAGGATCATTCTCCTGACTGCTTAACAGATGCAAAGGAGCAATAGATGAGGCCTAACACCAAATTGAAAACTAAGTTAAATATGATCAAAGGCATACTCGATAACAGCAGTGATAAAACGTTTGCCAATCACAGCTAGGACTACGAACCTGGTTGACCACATCGATGACACACATAACCCTGTGGTGGCGTTGCCCTTCCGAAAGCACGACCTGCACCAGATAATTCAGATGAAAAAGCCTGGGATTAACAGAAACGCAGTGATGGAATCACGGGACTACCTCTGCAATAAGGACACAAAATCAAGAAATCGAATTCTCAACATGTAGTAATCGACTAATTTTAGACCAAAGGTCAGCATGCCAACCAAAGCTCCCAAAAACAAATGAAAGAATGTTGATGGTATATTCAAACCTCCGCCGCCCCTGGCTGCACTTCCTCTTCCATAGCCCCCACGTCCGGATCCTCTACCTCCACCAAGACCCTCATGTGTTTGCCTGGTTTAACATCAAGAATACTGTAAAATCAGAAAAGTTGAAACAACTTCATATACCACATACAACCTATCCTAATTTACGACCAACACGACGTTGACAACACACTTGGAAAGGAGTCACACAAATCAATGGCTACTTTTTTAAAATAAAAACTAACCGCTGCCATTCTGTAGCTGTTGTGTTGACCATGGCAGCAATACGAGTGTTTTCATCCAGGTCGGCCTTACTGACAACAGGCTCAGGTATAGCATACAAGTCGACACCGAAATCATCCAAGCTATCCATTCCGACATTCTGAACCACCACCACCACCCCCACCTTATTAGTAAAATCCACTTTTAATGACTGACTTCTTCACTATAACCGGGAACCACGAAATCATATGATCAAACGCCAGAACCTGCCCAGTATCAATGACGTCATGTAGAAGCTAACAAACTCGGTAACTGATAATAAGAATATTACATCATGTAGAGAGGAGCAATCTACGACATCAGAAGAAGTATTGAAAACAAAAGTAACAACATACAGAAAGAGCTGTAGCCTGAGATGTTGACTCTGTTCCCCTGCCATAGTCACCAACCATCGAGTCTGCCACTGATCCATGAATCTTCGGCCTGTCAACACCAGAATTCAAAATATTACGTATCTCAGAATTAACTTGAACAACGCGAAAGCAAGAGGATGCCATGTTAGAGCACCACCGGACGAGAGGGTTAAGGACACGCTAATTCATGTATAGCAAGCTGCATATTTCCTACAAAATCAAATAGGTGAAAGGACTATACTGTTCTTCAACTCGGAGAACTGGTTTTGAGCGAGATGCAGGCACTCGTTTGATAATAACACTTGTGTTTTTAGGCAAAAGAAAAGATTCATCCGAATACTCTGAAATGGCAACACAGTAAGATATCGTAAGTACAGGTGCTAAGGACATGACATAAGGACCGTATTATAAATCCCTACAACTTTTAGAGCTATGAGATCGAAACATTCTTAGCAACTTGGACCATTCAGATTACATTGACCCGGAAATATTTCCTCAGCAAATCAATTGCGCAAACATTTCTAAACGATCTTAAGATGCTAGAAAGTCCTCATCTACTGATGACTGTGGAGACCACAAGAGGTAATTATCCACTTGAGACACAAATTTAGGCCACAATTCGCTGAACTTCAAACGTTCGTCTCTAGTTGATCACCTAAGAAAAGACACGAATAGGAACGCCCCATTGTCATCAAGAAGGTAGTGCTGAAAAGATGAAAAGAAGGATCTTATAATTATGACGAACAAAATCATGTTGGTTGTGCCAATTCCCATGAAGACCACAACTTATCTTCTTCAAAAGAAAACCCTAGACTCTGCGAAATCACATATCCTGCCAAAATGAGAGTCGCAGACTGGGTGGCAATGTGTATCAGGCCAAACACGTTGAGATGCTGAAAAGGTAGTGAGATAATTACAACTGATCATGGAGGACAATTCAGACAAGCTTCAACCGAAGAGCATCCGAAAGTATAACTCGATTTAGCAATAATGTCTCAGCACTGCCCTAAGGAGACAACCTATTTATCCCAAAATTGACTAGACCTAGAAAGCTGCACCCATGCCATTGTAAACAAAATTGCGTTGAGTGAAGCAACGCACCGGCGCGTCTCCAACCAAAGCATGTAACGAACGTCTATAAACGGTACTGAGAGGGAGAGAACGCTGCCTTGAAAGACTGTCCGTGTTATAGATATGGTGTGCAGCTTGAACTGCCAAATGTTGCAGAACTACCGCTAGAGCAACACCATGCGAGAAACTTACTAAGCTTACAAGATACAAAATTTGGAATATACCGCCTTTTCGGCTGGTTCTAATAAAACTCAAGCACTAAGTAAGTGTCAAGAGAAGCTGGCGGTGATTACCTTCAGCTGTTTGCGCATTGGTGATGAGAAGGTCGAAGTCCGTTGCCCTACCTAAGTTCTTGTGTTCAACTATCTTCTCCTTCAAAGAACCAATTGAGATGAACGGGCCATCAATATCGATGGAATCATACTCAACTGCACTTCTGAACTTGAAATGAATAGCCATACTGGAGAAATTCTACCTATGAACAGCCAGACGCGTGTGTACGAAAATTTACAAAAAACACGCTGCCACTACGACTACCTACCCTTGCAACCCAAAATTCCTCTCCTCGCTGCTGCACATCACGAAGAAGTAAGGCCTCCGCAATCCCTGGGAGAGCCAAATTACAAGCCGATTGATGACAGCAGCGAGATTGAAGATGAAGATGCACACAGAGCTCAAGGCATCCAAAGTTAGCCTACAAGAAGAGCAGGCGATATCCGCGAAGAAGAAGAAGAAGAGTGCCGCAATGATCCAGAACAGAGGAAGAGAAATAGGAGAGAAGCAAGAGGTCAGAGCTCCCAGGGCTAGGAACAAGAGAGGGAGAAGGAGTCGGGGGAGGAGGCAGGAACATGGTAGCGGAGGAAGACGAGGAGGAGGAGGAGGGCTGAGGTGAGGATTGAGGGTGGAGAAGCACGCATTCGAAGTAAGTGAAGGAGAGGGTCGTCGTAAAAGAAGATGAAGACGGAGAAGAAGACCTAGAGCAGCAGCAGAGGCAGCGAGATCTGTTGTGCGGTGCACCCTACCTCTCGAGCCCCCCTCCCCCCAAACCCCCTTCGTCTTTACCCTCCCGTCCCAGCCTGCCCCTACCCCGTTCCCAGCCCGTCATTCCACCTCATCCATCCCGTGTTATCAATCTGTCCATCCATGTTCCTGTGTTGCAATTCTGTTCATCACATTCCGCACGCAGTACTTTAATTCCACGTCATGTCTTTTTCCGACCATTGTAAACTTTTTCAAAGCGTTCTCGGAATGTAATTTAAAGAGTAATTCCGACGTGGCAGCATGAAAACTTCTTGGGAATAACTTCTATTTCATTAAAGATAAAGAAAATTTAAATTAAGCACACTTATACTTTTTTTTTTGAGAAAAACTAGAAAAGATGACAATAACATTAGGATTCGTTACAATAGCTTTCAAGCTTTTTTAAAACATCAAACTTTGGTTTGAAATTTCATTTTGAGCACTTCACCAAAAACTTAGAGGGAATTTTCACAATCTTTTGAAGTGCTTTATTTAACCACTATTAAAATTATTAAAAGACATAGTATTAGAATAAATTAGCTTTTACATTATTTTTACATATATGTTGCATAAAAAAAAAATTATATATAAAAATTTATTAAGAAAATATTTTTTTAATAAAATATTTTTAGATTTAAATTTTTGTAGATACACCATTTGTCACAGACATACATATTTACTCTAATATTTATCTATATGATTAAGTAGAAGCAAAAAAAAAAAAAAAAAAAAAAAAAAATCGATTTATTTTATAATATTTTCTAAAGAAGCTTCCTAAAAGCTCTATAGATAGTACATTGACTTTACATGTATTTGAAGTTGATTGATAGGTTAGAAACTTGATCAATAAGTTAATTATATGTTGATAGCTTGTAGAATAAGCTAACTATGTGGCACACATTTAGAAAACTTGCCTTGCAAGTTCATATGTCTTACAAAGTCAACACGTTTTAAAGGTCCTACAGGACATTGCCACATAGCTCATAGTTAAGAGTATATACGGAGGCAAGAGTGAAGCCTTCTTTATTCTTGTCAATGCCTTTCTAGACCTTAATCTTGTTTCAAGACTTTCTAAGTCTTCTTATCTTTAGAAATAGCTATTCTAATTCAATACTATATCATCTTTGAGTGATTTTTTAGTCTTTTTGAGTGACACAAGACTATATTGACATTTTAATTGTTTGAGGTTCATGTCCTTGATAGTTTGACAAGAGTGCTAATTTATTGTTCTTTTCTTATTTAAAAAGTGAGTGAATTATCCCACATCTATTATTATATTTTAAAGGTTGTAGATTTTTCACCTTTAAAAAAAATTATTTACTTTTATAATAATGATTTTTTTTAAAAGAAAGTGAATTATCCCTCTTTGTAGAAATTTTCATTCAATATTAGATGTTGCCGATTATCTTCTTCTAATTTCATTTTTTGAATCTATAAAGTTGTTTGAAATAGAAAGAAAAATCATGGATGCTATACTTAGTGGAAGTAAGAATAGATTTACAACTATTGCAAATCTACACAAACTTATCAACACTCTTAGAATGAAAATTTTATGCATCACCAGCACCAACCACAAAAACAGTAATCCTATGTCTATAGAAGAAATTTAAAAATTATGTCAAAAAATTGTGTACTTGAAGGAAGCAAGTAGATTGACCTCACAACCAAATCCAAAAAGTTTTGTTTTTACAAGTATGATAGAGATACGGATTAGTATACTCGATAAGTTTAATAGAACAAAATTAAAATTTTGAGGATTTCTGTAATAAATCAAATTCTATCTAAGATTGCATCTTTTTCAATATCTTGATGGATTTACTTAAGTTGGATTTATAGGTATATTTTTATTTGGAAGTACTCGATTTTGATTTGTACCATTAATTAAAAAGAATTCATAACTACTTTTTGATTTGAATTCATTCATAAAAGTATTTACACCTATATTTGGAGATAGTAATCAAGAAAGAGTAACAATGACCAATCTCTTATCTTTATAATAAGAATCACGATCAGATACTATATATGCTCATAAATTCCAAAACCTTACTTGCGACATGGACTGCAATGATAAAGCCCTTATCAATCATTTTTGATATAGATTGAAGGATAATATCAAATGTTTGATATTCACAATGCCAAAAGCAAAATCTTTGGAATAATTTATTACTCAAGCCATTGCATCCAACAATCAATTATTTGAAAGTTATCAAAAACAAAGATTTGGCTAGAGAAGAACAAGCCAAGTAATGATAACAGCTTTGAAGTTTTCAAAAAATTATTTATCAAGGCCAAAATCAATACAAATTAATGAGAAATATTTTAAATTCTTCATTGAGCAAGAAAAGATTTGACATTGTTAAGAGGATTTTTGCTTATATTATGGAAAAGCTAAGCATATTATTCAACATTTTTTAAAGAACCAATGCAATTATAAAATGAAGAGTACAATTTTCAAAGAAGATAATGTATAAAAAAATGAATTTTTTTAGCTGTAATAGAGACCATGCGACTAGAATCATGTGCAACACCTAATAAAGGTTCTATTCTCTCCTAAGATCTCTCACTTTATTTTACAATAGATGTGTATTTAAGACCTAAAAATCACAAAGTCTTTAAATTATTAGATTGAAGAGCCTCAGCCAATTTTATAAACAAAGATTTTTATCAAGAAACAAGAAATATCTTCAGCCAAGAAATCTAAGTCTATACATATAGAAGTCATAAATAATCATTTGTTATTTTTTTAGAGATATTACTCATGAGTCTATTCTTTAAGATGTAGAAATTAAAGATCATAATAATATAATAATATTCAATATGATAAGATCTTCCTTTAATTCAATTATTTTAAGATTATTATGGTTAAAAAATATAACCTTAAAATAGATTGGATTTTTTGTAACCTTAATTTTTTTTGATAGTTTAATCCAAAATCTCATTAGTCAAGTAAGAATATATAAGTCTAGTACATCCAAACCTTTACTAGTAGGTGCGAGAGCTTTTATACATGCCACAAAAAAAGAATTATCTTTTGCTTTATATGCCATGCCCATTTATAATGGTGAAAAGACATTAATTGGTATTTCTAGCCAATATGAAGATTTTCAAGAAATTTTTGAAAAAAAAAATGTAGATATTTTTTTCAAGTATTATCCTTATGATTGTTCTATCGATTCTTATGAAGGAACTCAACCACTATTTGGACCAATCTGTAGCCTATCACAAAAAGAATTGGCTACATTCAAGGAATACATTGATAAAAACTTGGCTAAGAATTTTATATGTCATTTTAAATCTCTAGCTATAGCTCTTATTTTATTTGTGAAAAAAAAAAGATGAATCTTTGCAGATATGTATGGACTATCAAAGACTCAACAAGATCACTATCAAGAATAAGTATCTTCTACCTTTAATTTCAAGTCTTCTTGATCAATTGAATCAAATTAAGTTCTATACAAAAATAGATCTACGAGAGGCATATAATCTGATATACATTAAAAAAAAAAGATGAATGGAAAACTAGATTTCAAATTAAGTATGGACATTTTGAATATAATGTGATGCCTTTTCGACTCACAAATGCACCAACTACTTTTTAACATCTAATGAATGATGTCTTTTGTGAATTTCTTGTTGATTTTATCATCTATTATTTCAATGACATCTGAATTTAATCTATGAACAAAGAAAAATATGAAGTTCATGTTTTTTATATATTACAAAAACTTAAAAATGTAGGATTATATGCCAAATTAAAAAAAAGTGTGTATTCCACACTACTTAAGTTAAATTCTTAAGATACTTCATTTTTACTAAAAGGCTAGAAATAGATTCAAAGAAGGTCTATATTATCATAAATTAGAATATTCTAAAAATAGTAAGAGATGTGCAATGATTTTTGGATTTTATCAATTACTATCAAATCTTTATTAAGATTTTTTTTCAAGTTGCACCTCTACTTACACATTTGACTTGTAAAGACAAATTCAAGTAGAGTAAAGAAGCCAAAGCATTGTTTGATGCTTTAAAAAGAAATTTACTTTTGTACTAATTTTATATCATATTGACTTCTCCAAGGTATTTTTTATGGAAACAGATGCATCAGACTTTGCCTTCAGTGCAATATTATCACAAATAGAAGCAGATGATAAATTCAATCTAGTAGCTTTTTATTACAAAAAAAATTTAGCACTAAAGATTAATTATGAGATCCACAACAAAGAGCTCCTGCCAATCATGGATTCATTTCAAGAATGGTGTCATTACTTAGAAGGCACCTCAAGTTCAATCACCATATATATATATATATATATATATATATATATATATAGATTATAAGAATCTCAAGTATTTCATGTTATCACGTATTTTAAATCATCGCCAAACTCATTGGAGTATGCCTTTATCAAGATTTGATTTCAAAATGACTTATTGACTCAAAAAATAATAGGGTATTTTAGACATCTTTTCTTAATGTTTTTATCTTACTCCAAAAAATAGAGATATAACTTTCAATCAACAAAAAATGATTCTTTTGAAGTTGGAGCATTTTTATCATTAAGCAAATAAAATCAAAATTGATTGTTGATTCAATCTTTGTCAAGAAAATTCAATCAAGTATATCCTCTCATCTTCTTGTCCATGATATCAAAAATAATTCTTCTAAATCTCATGATACTTCTAAATTTAAGTTCAAAAACAACCTACTCTATTTCAAGGGATGATTATACATTCCAAAAGGTGGTGCACAATTATGTATTTTTCAAAGTTGTCATGATTTTTCAACAGCCGAATATTTTGCATACAACAAGACTTTGAAGCTAATATCTACAGATTTTTAGTGGCTTCAAATGTAGAAGGCAATTAAAGACTTTGTATAATCATGTAATATTTTTTTAAGATCCAAAACTTATCGCCATCAATCTTATAGACTTCTTTAGCCATTACATATTCCAGAATAACCATGGTCTTTAGTTTCTATGGATTTTATC